CGCCAGCACCATATTTCAAAGGCATCAATTCTTCTTTGGTCTTCCTTATTCATTGTCCAGCTTTCACATGCATATGAGGTGATTGAAAACACCATAGCTTGAGTCAGGCACACTTTAGTCGTCAAAGTGACATCTTTGCTTTTTAACACTTTAAAGGGATCTTTTGCAGCAGATTTTCTCAATGCAATGTGGCATTTGATTTCTTGACTGCTGCTTCCATGGGCGCTGGTTGTGGATCCAAGTAAAATGACATCTTTGGCAACTTCAATCTTTTCTCCGTTTGTCAAGATGTTGCTTATTGGTCCAGTGGTGAGGATTTTGTTTTCTTTATGTTAATGTGTAATCCATACTGAAGACTGTAATCTTTGATCTTCACCAGTAAGTGCTTCAAGTCCTCTTCACTTTCAGCAAGGAAGTTTGTGTCATCTGCATATCACTGGTTGTTAATGAATCTTCCTCCAATCCTGATGACCCGTTCTTCTTCATATAGTCCAGCTTCTCGGATTATTTGCTCAGCGTACAGATTGAATAAGTATGGTGAAAGGATACATCCTGGACACACACCTTTCCTTGTTTTAAACCATGTTGTATCCCCTTGCAAGTAAAATTATGCTGAAGATAATTCAAAAACGGTTGCAGCAGTACATCGACAGGGAACTGCGAGAAAGTCAAGACGGATTCAGAAGAGGATGTAGAGTGAGGGATATCATTGCTAATGTCAGATGGATCCTGACTGAAAGCAGAAAATACCACAAAGATGTTTACCTGTTTTCACTGAGTATGCAAAGGCATTAGACCGTGGGGACCATTACAAATTACGGTAATGTTGTGAAGAATGGGAATTCCAGAATGAAAGTAGAATAGAGCATGGAATTCCATTTGCATTCTTTCCCAGGAGATAACCCTGCAGGTTGAGAGTTTTCCTTCAGGACCAATCACCCGAGAGTCACGGGAAGAGGCATGTAGTCCTCGTCCACGTCTAAATGCCATTCTGGGAATGTATGAACGCAGAGCCTGGCTGGGCCCCAGCAGCAATTCTCATCTATGAACAAAGAAACCTGGTAATGTTTAGTTCTGAGTTACTTGACCAGCAAAATCTTATGCTTCCTCAAACAGTCTGAAGTGAAGGTATTTCTCTCCATAGAAAGGAAGAAAAAATAAAATATTTTCCCCTCACTGATTTGTTAGCAGTCGCCATATGTGACAGAATTTTTGCTGATGATTCTCTCCTGCTGCTGGCCTTGGTTAAATTCCCAGAAGAGCTAAACCACATAAAGTTGTCACTGTGGAAACAGCACCCCAATCTTTGCTTGCATTTCTGATGATTGGCTGTTGAGGAATCGAACTGCATACTGTGCTTTTTTTTTGTTTTTTCACGTGCGTGCGTGTGTTTGTTGGAGGAGAAGGTGGTATTTCATTTCTGTGACTTCTAAAATTATTGTTTTCAAGCTGCCAATCAAAAAAAAAAAAAAAAAAAGAAAGAAAGAAAGCAAGCCTTGAAATTCTCCTGTGTCTGAAATATTGCTCAGGGTATTTTTATGACAGGGATTGAAGCTTAGATATAGTCTAAGACAGGAGTTAGGATTTTAGAAGATTAGAGTCCCAGTCTTAAGATGCATTTGCTGGAAAAGAGGCTTTTATGCTAGAAAAGGTTCTTAAAGTTTAATAACTGAGCCCTGTATTAAGCAGGCAGAATGTATTATAACCTTCTTCTTATATAGACAATGAGAGAAATATTTTGCAGTTGATATGCAATGAAAATTTCCGTTGCTGTAATTTTATAGTCAATGTCAATATCCCTGTAGATATGTCTCCTCTGCAGTGTAAGCCGTCTTGAGAAAACAATGCTGGGCGTTAGTTGCTTCCTATTGTCTTTCTACCCTGGTACTTCCAGAGATCGAACTCTATGGATTCTTCACTTAGTTCTTTCACAAGGCATAGTAGGAAAAGAAATAATGAGGATAATGGAATGTGCATCTCAGCTCAGTTGTACTCTGTGCTGTTCCTTTCTTTTGCGAGAGGTTTTTTGACCCGTGAATTATGCCTGTGTAATGATGAGCCATAGTCCCTGGGTGGTGCCAATGGTTAATGCACTCAGCTGCTAACCAAAAGGTTGGAAGTTTCAGTCCTCCCAGAGGCACCTCGAAAGAAAGGTGAGGTGATTTACTTCCAAAAAGTCAGCCACCGAAAACCCTGTGGCGCACAGTTCTTTGACACACGTGGGGTTGCCATGAACTGACTGGACAGCAACTGGTTTTCTGGTTTTTAATCATGAGTCACATTCTACGGTGCTACATACATGATGCCCACATGCACTGTGCGCTCCGCTGTGGAGAAGAGTTTGCTTGTACTCACTCAAGGAAATGAGTAACCAGACTGTGAATGCTGGAAGCTATTAGTTCACTGATAGGACTAACACCCAGTTTATAAAAATGAATTATCAAGTACAAGTGCAACCAAAATTGATCTGGGGGTCATGTCGATTACCAACTGAATAAAAAACACTTTTAATTAAGAGACAAAGGCTGAAACCAACCAGACATGCGCGTGCATGACATCTCAGGCAAGTGACATAAATCAGCCAGATTTTAGGATTTAACAAATATTAGCAAAAAGTTTACACAATCTGAGTGCTAACAGTACAGATGCTACATTATTTTAGCTAGCTATTTTGGATGTTGCTGTAGGAACTATGTGGAATATCTCTTCTTGAAGCAAGTAGATAAT